AATTATACACAAATTAATAATTGAATGCTACAAGGAAAAATTAGCCCAATCATACATCATTCCTGTAGCAGATAATTGGGCATGGACCAGGCCAGCTCTGCTGGTAAATGGTAAATAATGCACATAGTATATCAAATTTTGCATGTAGATAGACAAGTTAATTTGCTTCCAACTAAAGAAGAAGGACTTTTTAAGAAGTAAACTATTTGTCTCAACACTAACATGCAAGATTGCCTTCACACATACACCTCCCATTACATATGTCCATCATACAGAAAATATTAACAAGCATCATATTTCAAGATGTGGCTACGTGTGTACATATACAGATGCATACATATGTGAATACAGACACACAAGAACCTTATAATTCAAATAAAATTCACTGTGAATACAGATACTGAAGTCTCAAAGCTTCCAAGAATAACATATACATGGAAAGTTTTCTAAGAGACTGATATGGGGTTGCCTCTGTACCAAAGGCTTCTCAATCATATGTGATTTATTTGCAGGTTTTAGGAAAATTAAATGCAATTCATTGGCAATGTTGAACTGCTTTTTCTTGTAAAAATGAAGCCACTCGCTACTGGAAAGTTAAGGAGCGGAACCAGCTGCAGAGGGTTTTTTTGTTTTGTTCTGTTTTGGGTGGGTTTGTTTTTTTTAAAGGAAACAACACATTAAGCTGTTCTTAGTTTCAGTTTAAAACTTGAAAGAAATTACTTTCTGCTTTTCCACTTCTCCACAGGCAAAAACCCCCATACACATCTAAGCAATTCTCAAACAACCTCTGCTCACCAGTGCAGTGTGTGATCTCCCCACAGCACAACTGCTCCTGAGCTAAAGTCACTCACTCACAGCTCCTCAGATGACTTGGTATGAACAGTAGCTATTTAGATTTCACAGCTTGAAAACCAAGTAAACTTACTCTATATAGAATAACTCTTTTTTCTTAAGGTAGGTAGAAGAATTACGAAGATCACCTCAACAAAACATAGGTGATGTTGCATATTGATACTGAGGTGTAATGACCTCAACACTCTCTACTTTTTCTGAAGTCCTAATAACACACTTAGATATTTGACCCTTTTCTACTTTCCCCTACAAACAGAAGAGGGAAAGAAATCCCTTACGTGTTTTCCTGGCTGACGCCGAAGGAACTCGTCAACCCACAGCAGGATGCAGTGAGATCCAAGACTGAGCTCTTTGTAGTTGAAAAGGAAAGTCTTTGGCCAACTGGAAGTGACTTCTGATGGAAACTTTATGATTTTTCTTTTCCAACAGATTAATTGAAGGAAAAGTTTAACCTGATGTTTCATTCTGGTATCTATTGGCAACTGATATTCAGTGATAACTGATATGCTTCACCATTTAGGAGTAAAAGCTTTTCTCCTTCATGCAAATAGCATCACACATTTGGTATTGATAATGCAGAGGGATTTGGCCTGAATTCCAAATTATCTAAGGATCCAAACTCATGATACTGATTATTTTTCAAATCTCATGTTTTCTAAGACAAGCTGGAGTTCACATTTGCCCATATTCCCCTGCAAGTTTGAACCCTCAGAAAATAGTTCGTTCGTGTTTCAAAGGGTCTGATTTTCTAATCACAAGGACTAGAATTTTCTCCTCTGTATTTTATCATTAAAAAATCTCATGTAATCCACAGCCTCCAGATGCTGAGTCCTTGACACCACAATATCAAATACCTTTGTGAGAACTCCCCAACCTCCTGTAAATCAGCGCAAGGTGAGGGCTGCACACACGGCAGCCACCTCGCCGTCTGCCACGTGTAACAGTCCCTTCAGGGTCCTAATCAGCACCCAGGAACAGATTTCCAAATGCAAATAGGCAACCAGCAAACAGGCAAGCCCTGTGTTCCCAAAAGCATCGATTTCTCTGATGCCGAGCCATGAAATACAACAGTCCAAAACCACAATCAAGTAACCTGCATCCCCATCACTGAGCGAGCACGCAGCAGTGCTGCTAACAGGAATATGTGATGCCATGTCCTGACATGGAGCATCACTGCACACAATGATCTGCAGATGAAACAGCTTAAAATTACTCCCAGATTATTCCTGTTCTGCGTAACACCGCGTGGCTGTGGGCTACAGGGGAGTAACGGCACAGCCCAGGGCTCTTGCTGGCAGACTGCGAGTCACAGACATGACAAGGAAGGGGAGCAGAAGGATGCCACTTCAGAGGGTAAAGTAAAAGTACATTGGGGAAATCCTTTGCATTTCTGTCTATGGTTTCTGTGTGTTGCTCCCAAATGAAGCCACCACTGTTTGCAGAAATTTATAGTATCCTTAAAAAAAAAAAAAAAAGACAACAAAAATCCCAACAAAGGTACTCTTTGCATAACCCACAACTGCAGGTGGCTTAGGGAGATAGGATATTTTCAGCAGAACCAAAAACATTAGAGGAAAGACCATGATTAAAAATAAAATGGTGATAATATTTCTATCTAGTTGTGCTCTGGCCTGGATGGCTTGGTGAGCAGGGCAGGCTGTGTCAGCCAGAAGGACCACACCCACCTCCATGGCAGGAACACACCTCATGCTTCTAAGTATTTGCTCCAGAACTGGAAATCCCAAACCCAAATCATCCACCGTAGTGCTCTGCAGGGCAGGGAGGAGGCACCTCAGCTCCCGTGTATGAGGAGGGCTGGCATCTTTGTTCTCTCCCTGCCACACTCCAGCAGCTCTCAATTAAGAGCTGGGACCTTCAGTCAAACCTCTCTGTTATCAGCAGGGACATCTAGCTGAGAGGATGGAATGGGATTTCACACGCTGATTCACAGCAGCTGTGGTGGCAGAGCACACAAACACATAAAGAAACTAACACATGATAACAGCTCTGAGCAAAAGAATATAATTTGCCAAAAGTTAAAGGTAAATTTTGCCTAATTTTGCCTTTGGTCAAAAGGCAGATACATACATGGCAGGATTCAATTTATTTATTTATTTTTTAACCACCTTATAGCCCACATGTGACCCTCCACTTCCAAATGAGCATTGTGGGAAGAAAAGAATAAAATCTTTTTATAGCCATATTTGGAAACACTGTCTCATCCAAAGATTCAGAGAGAAACTGTTCTGGAAGCTGCCAGCCTGGTGTTTTATTTCCCATCCCATCACCTAATGTCATACCTGAGCCGCTCTGCGATTTCTGCAAGCAGGGCAAGATACTGCTCCCACTCAACAGAGCTCATTTCACCTGGCCAGGGGTGTTGGGGGGATATCTCTGCCATCTCCTGCAAAGCAGAAATTATAAATCATGTCTACATGCAAAGTTAAAAAAAAAAACCTCACAGCAATAATTTACTTAAATATTTAAAAGAAAATAATTTTTAAATAGTAAAGGTAATTCTCAAGGTGACTGATGTAATACTAAACGGATATAAACATTTTCACTCCACTAAACAAAATTAACACAGAACCCACACACATAAACCAAAACCACAGAGTTTGCATTGGAAAGAGCTTAAAACTCCCAAGCTTTTACTCAAAACATTTTTTTTAATTAAAGTACAAATGCATTTATGCTGGAGAATAGTTTACATACATTGTAAAGCAACAAGCATATTTTCAAGAGGTGTGGGTCCTCCTCAATATGTCTCCATGCTCAATCTACATGCTTTAACAATAGACACACACGTATGTTCTCCCATACAAACATATAGACCTACAAAACACAGACACAGAGCTATCTGCTTCAATTAGCTTTCTTTTAAGGCTTCTGTAAGGTGCCCCAGTGCCCCTAACATTACCATAATTACGAACAAAATTGTATAAAGGAGCAGCATTGCTTGCAAACTATTGTCCTGCTCTTGGCCTTGAAAAATATCAAGTGAAACAAGTTTTTTCCTTTTATTCGAGTTTTATTAAACATCTGCATTTAAGAAAGGCATGATTCTGTGTATCTGTGAACAAGGAAAGATACGGGAATCTTAACATGAGCTTCTCAACCAGAACAAATGTTCAAACCTGACTCCTGAGGGATCATTTCCTTTGATCTTTACAGCAACACAGCCCTGGCTGTGCGACGAGGCACTACCAGCTCCATCCCTCCACGGCTGTTCAACCAGCAATGCGGAGACCAGCAACACAGAGTTGAGGCTACCATGCTCATCTCACTTCAGACCTGAGGCTGATGAGAAGTCACAGTTTAAACACTGACAGACCCACGTGTCCCTCAATGCTTACCAGTGGGCCCCTCTCCTGCAGAGCACATCGGGGTTGGAAAACACACAGGGAGTGGTGCTGGCTCGCTGTGCCCCTAGCCATCGTGGTGCATTTTTGCCCACCCCTTTTTGGTATCCTGCAGTGTATAGTCTGAAACTGCAACTACTGGTGTTGGGTGAAAGATGTGGCAGCAGGTATATTAGGAAAATAGGTACAATGAATAAAATAAAGGATAGCATATGATATAATGTGTACATACAAGCATCTTCTTTTGTTTTTTATCTGTGAAATGTGAATTAAGTGCAGAATGCCTGGCCATTAGTCTAAAAGGCTATGTATGGCTGTCTTAGCCTATGTACGGTCAAAGGATTTTTGTGATGCATCATGAAGATTCTTCGGGAACCATCAGGGCTTTCCAGGTCTACTTGGTCTTGTGCATCAGCCCCCAGCTAGGAATGCCAGAGGAGCAACTAATCAAATTGCCTGACCAGTCTTAAAAGACAAACAGGAATGACTGTACTTCATAGTATGAATCTGAACTACAGAGATAAGGAAGGGACAGTGATGGGTGGGTAAGAGAGAAGGGGAAGGGAGCTTTTTCCCCCACTTTTACAACAGCAGCAGATTTCAATGTAATGTAATTACTTTAATGATGCATATCTGTAGGTACTGAATTGCTCTTTTGATTTAAAAAGCTGGTCAGACAAGTGTTTGGCAGTCCCTTCATTCCCCAGTTTCAATTGTTGCTTATTCATCTATCAGCTCTCATTCCCTAGGCCATTTCTGCCTTTGCTGAACCATGAATGAGTTCAGTCAGCCATCGTCAGATTCAAATTCATGAGACACCTCCTCTGACGAGCTGTTCCTGTGGATCCGGCCATCGCTTTTCATGCTGTGAAAAGTCTTCTTAAAGGCCTCCATCATGGCATGGGCCAGCTTCTTGGCCTCCAGCTTGCTCTCACACTCTACAGCATGGCAGTCCATCTGGTAGGACAAGTCATCATTGATCTCCCGATAGACCCAAGCAAAGATGTTTGGGCTGACGTTGTGGTCAGCAGTGCAGTAGGCTATACGTGCTACCTGAAAGGTATCCATGTGGACTGTCGCCTCGCCTTTGAGGTCCAGATGATGCAGCCAGACTTGGAAAGGGCGAATTTCCAGAAGGGCGTTAGCTGGGTAAACATCCTCCCTGGCAAGCGTGTGCTTCTTCCATAATTCAATGACTGGTTTCTCTGTGCAGCCTGACAAAAATTGCATCCCTGTTGTGGAAACCTTACCCAAATATGTAACCTGCAAAGAAGAGCAAAGATATGTGAAACACAGACAGCAGACTCCAGTGCTGCTTTCTGTCATCCCAGGGAACTTTCCTTTATCTGGAAATTAAAAGAATCTGCCCCCGCAAACACCCCAATTTCCCCATCATCTTCAGTAGAACAGTTTTCAAACTGCTTTCCAGATGCTTGCTTTTTCAGTCTCTCAGTTTCAAGGGTTTTAACTTTCTTAAGCTAGAAGGCCCAGCTTTACAGTCCATGACTGTACCTCCCATGTTAGCAAGTCTAAGTGCCAGCGGAGCATGCCCCAGGTAGCTGGGAAGCTAACTACTTTTTTTTTCTTTATACTTTATTCAGATGATTTGTCTTGTATTTCAAACATTAATATTAGTGAGACTGAGACATTCTCAGCTTGATAACACAAGGCTGCAGGGGGTCAGAAAAGCATGATCATGGCAGAGGATTTTAATGTTTTGAATGTTTTTTCCAAAATGATCCTGTTTTTCCACCACTTTCGCTGTTCCTACTTAAGTATTAAGCCAGGAATAGCTCAAAGCTGTTCAAAACTCTGTCGTTGAGCAGGGCTGAGACATTTATCACATCTATTTAAGAAAATATGCTGTTAAAAAAATCTAGTAATAAATCTACCTTAATTTAATCAGATAATCTCTGTGCTTTTCTGTCTAGCTCTTTTGAGTAAATATCCTGTCATCCAGTCTGCATGGGAAAGCAAGGTGCCTTTAGTGCTCTTGCTGTATTTTGTTCACCAAAAAAACAAATTCACTGAGAGGTCCATATCAAAATTCTGTATCAAGCCTGTACAGAAACATTCCCCTAAATCAGTGCAGCTGCTAAAGAGGCTTTCTTCCACTTACTGCCGAATGGAAGGTTATTTTATCTGGGAAAAGGGATTTTCTCTAGAAAAGACAGATCAACGCTACAGAAATACAATTATGCAGATTATTCTTTTTATTGCTGTTGTCAGAACAGGGCATTTAAGAACAACTATATGAAGGCAAAATTGCTTCTAATTTGTCTCTTGCAGCAGTAACTGTTTGAGACAGAATCTTGTGTCTCTTGCTTGATGTATTCTAACCTCATGTGCATTTTACTCAAGGCTTTTGGAGAAAAAAGTAGTCACAGGCATGTTCCAAACTAACTTCTTCAAAATTCTGTACTAAGCGCACAGTATCAGCTATTTTTTTTTATTATTTTGTATATCCTTTAAGAAATGCAAAGGAAAAAATGTGATTTCCACATTTAAACACATTAAAAAAAAAATCATACCCACAAGGGATACAGGATTTGTATTCCATGCAAACAAAATTTTCCACAAGAAAAGTATTTTTCTGCAAGCTTCATAGGCTTTGTTAAGCTCAGAGACCTAAATTAAACCATAATTAAGGAAAAAGCTTACAAAACATTATTGGAAGTCTGTGTGGCTTAATCACGCCTGCCAAAAAAGCAATTTCATAGCACTGACATTTCAAAATGGGAAGTCTTATTTTTTGCCTATAAATATTCATGCTTTGCACTGGGAATACATTAAATCTTATAAAGCTTTATATTTTTTGGAACAGCGGGAAACACAACAGCTAGCACAGTTAACAAGGCAAGACCTACCAGTGTTTTGTTTTATTTTATTTTATTAGTGATGAGAGTTGAGTTCCCTAAAGTACTGTAGAATAACTTAAAAGAAAACCTCAGAACTCATAGTGCCAACTAAACACATACAAACAGCACATACAAGACCAAAGAGGAACCCGTCTGCAACATACTGGGGGGTATTTCAACTGACATCCACAGTCATCTTGCTTTCAAAAAGATCAAGATCAGTGTGCAGATTTGCACGTTCAATACACTCTCCAAAGGTTCCTTAGGTACCATTTGGTATTCGCAAGCCAGCTAACAAAGGACTGACACACACTGTAAATTAACTGAGCCTTTGGGGTCAGATTCAAAGCCCATTGCTGTAACAGAAGTCCTTCACTGACTTCAAAGAGATTTGCACAGAGCTTTTAAACCCTGAGGAACAGAAAATTTGTCTCTTGCTCATGCACTTTGTCACTGTCCAAATACAGTTTTGAATCCCTGGCCCCAGGAGAGGCTGCAACACTTTGTGCCCCCAGCACTTTTCAGGGAAGACCCATATTGCTTGGAGCACACGCAAACAAGCACCTCTTGTTAGTGCAGAGCCCACACCCACAGTAAATGCAGGGAATTGTTTCATTACAAGTTTGCCTGCAAAAGGAAGCTGCTGCCTGCTGCAACGGCATGAGGAATGGGAGAGGAGGGGAAAGCAAAGGCAGCTACATCCCAGTCAAAGTACGATCGCTGGTCTTCCCAGGCAGTTAGTGCTGCTGCGCTCGATGCTGCAGATTCACCCCCAGCACACAGACCAGCAGCTTCCCAGCACCAACAACTCCCAAGCGATGCTCCTCTGGCAGCTGAGGAGCAAGACCAGAGAGGGCTGTCATGCAGGAGGAGTATAAATTGAGTTTAATGTTCTGTCTGTTTCTTCCCTGCCGCTAACTGCAAGCCCCTGTTGGCCATCAAGCCGTACATGGGCTGCCTAAGTGTGAAGTTAACAAAAAAAATGTATTTCCTTACAAATAAAGTTATCAGATGAAGAAGAGCAGTAAATTACTTTGAAAGCAGCCAAGGCAAAGGTAACTAACAAGGGATGACAGCTTGTTTACCAAAATGGGACTTAATGGTCTGATTTACTCTCCCAGCTCTGCCACAGTGTAACTGCGTAGGAACCTTTGGAAAGTTGCTTCCTTTAACACCACTTTGCAACTCCATTACATAAATTTCATTTTCCTTTGAGGACACAGTCACAAATATTTATAAGGTGCTTAGACATTACAACAAGGAGTTTACAGGAGAGAGAATAAACAAAATCTCTGGCTTAGAGTCTCTTCTTGTACCATGTCTTACATAGAAAAGAAACATCAACACCTACTAATGTTGTTATTTTTTGGGGGGTTTTTCTAAACAAATGATCATTTTTTTTCCTAGTTGGGATACAAGCATTTCACAAGAGTAGCAGTACCAAAGCTCTTGCTGAGGACAGATGTCTAACGTTTCATCACTTCATGGTCCCCTGCTAAATACAGAACAGCAATACAGGGACTGGCAAGACACCTTGAGTATGACACAAAAAACGCAGCATCCTGTTCGGAACAAAGTTTTCTGCATGATTAAATATCATCTATATGTTATACATTACATATTAATCCATCTGGAGCTGGCCAATTTAGTAACTTAGATATAAACATTTGCATAATTGCAGGAACGGTACCAGTATGAACTAAAACCAACAAAAAGATTTATAGGGCACTTCTCCCTGAGCTCTCAGTTACAAGGTTATTCCACAAGCAACGTTCCCTGCATTTCAGCTCCTACCTCATCACTCCTCACAGCACACCCACCTTTATTTAAATGCCCAGAAATCACTAACCACACACATCATTAGAGTAAAGCTATTACTGTTACAGTACAATCATCTTTCTTTCTGATTTTCAAGTTTGCCAACCAAAGATCAAAGAATAGATTATTCCTTGCACTATCAGATGAAGAAAATTATTTTGAGGCAAGAATTCCCACTGGTGGTCTCTTCTCTTAAAATGGATGGTGTCTCATCAGTATGAAGCCAGCAGGACACATTAAAAAAATTTCATCTTTAATATGGTAAGGAGCAGATGTGAAGGGCACAGAAAGACATTATTTATTGTTGTTGTTATTACTATTATTATGCATGCATGTGCAAGCACACTGAAGAAGTGCCGGAAGAGAATCAACTGCATAGCCTTACTAACTAGAGAGCAACCATTGATGAGGAGTGGCAATAGCCACAGCTCAGCCTGAAAGCCACACTTGTGACAATACAGCACTGACCACAGGCAATGTTCAACCAGGACTGAATAATGCTTTTCCTTCCTCTGAAACACTAGACAGAGGTCACCTGGCAGCAAACATCAGTCGAGGAGGATGACCTATTTGTGACAGCATGGCATGTCCTATAGCAAGCATCATCCTACATGCACTAAGGTATATAGCTGTGCTCATCCCCTCTACCCTCAGTGCAGGGCAGAGGAGCCACACATTGGTTGTAATGTGTAAATTATGGTCAAGCTGTTGCAGCCTTTACTTGAGTTGGACACTGTATTTTAAGTGAGAAAAGGAATGGAAAATCCAGCTCAATGCTACTGTGTTAACCTTAAGCAATAAAGGCATCTCATATTGTATCGACTTCCAGGGGTAAGAACATATTTCTTTATGGCTGTTACAGTCCTTTTGTTTTTATGTTCCATCTTCCCCACCAATTTCTGGAAGATACAATTTGCAACAACTTGTGCATGTTAAAAATTATCCACATTCTTTCCAGCCTTTCTATGGCAAACTGGCATTTTCCATCTGACCCTTTGCTCCCTGGCAAGCCACTGTCACCGAACATGACATAAAATACACTTGTGGTTTCAGCACTTCTGTGCTCGCAAACATTCAAACCTTTAGCAAAAGCCAAGATGCTCTGAAGAGCTCCTTACTTCACCCTAGAGACTTGCCAACCCCCATGTCAGTATCTGACAAAGCTGTCCTCAACAGAAAAATGCTGTGCTTTTGTCCTTTCAGAACACAGCTACAGTCACCTGAACAGAAACATGTCTCATGTCAAAGGACATGAAGATTAACAGATGTCATCTTTCATGCACTGTCCTGGACATATAAAAATATCTGAGTATTTTGACCTTGTTGTTTTCAACCCCTTCAGTCCAGTAACCTATAGTGAAATTGTGTCTTTTAATAACTAGGCTTGAGAGCTTAACGACTTTGAAAAGACCTATATAGCAGTTGCCATAGACGTTTTCACTTCTAGCATAGAACAATTTGTCAGAACTAATAAGGAGGTTCTACTTTCCATACTAAATTCTTTTCTTTATAACTGACCTCCCATTGTTTACTTGCAGCTCATACGAGATGAAGGCCACCTTAGCTCCCGCACATGTCAAGCACAGC